GTCATGTTGGGTGAAGCCCTGTCATGCCATGCCTTTCACCTGCACAGCAGCATTTTGTACTGTATTGCTTTGTGAGAGAAACCCTCCCTCTAAGCTTTGCACCCAGAAAAGGACATTTTGTAACTTGCACATGGTTTGTGTATGCATTTTATTGCTTTGCTTGAATTACACAGCCTCTTCTGGTAATAGGGCATGACAGAGTATCACGCAGGGCTAAGATCCACACCTGAGCAATGGACCTACTCAACTCCATGCCACAAAATGCAATTTACATTTTCCAATTTGCAATTTACATGACAATTTACAAGGTTCTTCTCAAGCCAGAATTAGGCATTTGGGATTCTTAGGATGCTAAAATGGTGTGCCACGAACAAATTCTGTATCTGCACAGCATGGTGGAACACACAGGGCTTTGGTATTGTTGGCAATTGTTGGACTTAAAATGGCATCCACTGGTAAGATAGCACGAATACTTCAAAAACCTTCTAAAAAGAGGCTGCCTGATAGAAAAAAATGGGGACAGGAGTACATTCACAGAGAGGAAAACCACCTAAGACTCCTGTTACCTTGGAAATATGACATAGGGCAGTTCTGTTGGATCAACAAATTCCCACCTGCCAGTAATGGTGTTAGGAAACCTACTGATTGGTGCTGATGAAAGTTGAAAGAGTTAGAAAAGGTAAAAACAGCGGCAAAACCCAAAGAATGTTCCCAAACTTGCATGCCTAGAAAAAGAAAAGAAAAAGATAAGCAATGAGTGTGAACGCTGCCATGCTGGAGGTCACCCATTCCGTAATGTTCCTATTTAAGCTAGTAATGCGTTGAATTCGTGCACTTAACCCCCTTTATACTAGAGGCACACAGAGGTTGGCTGAAGAGTTCAGTTAGGCAGACCTGTCCGATTGCTCCATGTCATTTGTGGAAAGAGCAAAACAAGAGGAGGAGTTGTCTGAAATGTATCAAATTACATGTTGCCACTGAAGGGTAAGAAAGGAGGAAGAGAAAGGATGACTGAGTGCATTTCTCCTGGTTTGCCATAACACAGAACTAAGTAAGAACAAAGAACTAACTAACTATGTACACTTCCACAGAAGCGTTTTTTAAAAAACCCAAATACTAGTATTCATTCACTCCTCAATAGGTAGTCAGTCCAGTCACCCATATCAGTAAAACACCTTAATCACAAGTACTACAATGATGCGTAAAAGTTCAAAGAGGCATGCACCTAGAGAGTTCCCACTCCCCTGTACTACAGTATAAAACAGATCTTTGTAACAATATCCACAAATATTTTTGGTTGTTAAACCAGAGGAGAAATAACAGTACATTACCAGAACCAGAACAGCTCAGATACATTGTTTTCTGGATGCAAAGTAATTGTATTGCCATCATGTTCACAGCAAGTTAAAGGCAGAGAAGTGATGAACAATACTAGTGCTAACTTGCTAACTCCAAACAGAGCACACCGTTTTCAAATGGGCTCTTTAATTAAAATACTTGCTTTTTTATGAAATTTGGGGCACAAGTCGGGGCATGGCTGACTGGTGCATGCTGGAAATGATGAGACTCTTTTCTGATTAAACATTCATAGGATCGTGCCCTTAGCCAGTTGCAGCAAAAATGGAGGATTGGATCTAGACTTAGCCACGCTTGCAGTAAAACCATCAAAATCAACAGGCTTCAGAACAGTTATGAATGATGTGTTGTCATTAATTGCCTTATATACTACAAACAAACCAATGCATATTCCAACAATTATTTAAGGGTGCAGTCCTAGGCATGGTTAGTCAGAAAACCACATGTTGGATATTACATGAGCAGAGCCAGTTGGAGCCGGGGGCCAGATTAGATAGTTTGGGAGGACACTTCTGACTTGCTATATTTTTAAAACACAAGGAATCCCCCCCCCCCCCGTTTAAACATGCATAGAACTGCGGCCATAGTCACCCTCTTCCACACACAGCAAAAATACATGAAACCCCATCAGCACTTCAGATCTAGCTTCTCTTTTATACAAATCCTACCCTGCATAAAATCAGGTGTGTTATTCCAAGCTAAACTGTTGCCTACAGTCACGATGATGTTCTACTCTTGTAAAAAAGGCAAAGTACCCTTTTTAAATGAAAACCTGAGTCCAGAGCAGGTCTATTGGAATCAGTGTAATTTATGGCAACTCACTTCAATCCCATTGATTCTAGTGGATTTGCCTTTAAGACCTGCTTCACACATTTACACCCTGTGTAAAAAACAATGGGAGCAAGCAAGTCTGCTAGCTGCTGCTGCTGCCCATTTGCTCCGGCTGCATGCAGGAAGAGCCAAATAATCCACGGACACTCCAGCACTGGATTGTTTGGGCGAGAGTGTCCCTGCATTGTTTAGACCCAGCACAGTTGATCGGGGAGCAGGAATGAACTTGCCCTCCTGCTTCATTCCCGGCCAAGGCGTGGGCCGTTCTGACATCCAAACTGGGCTATGAGTAATCTGGATCCCACTTCAAGACGTTTAAATGCAACAAATGGCTTCATTCAAAACTGAAAGGGCTGCAAACATGCCAGCACTAGGAATGCTCGAATAATGCAATGCCACACAATCTCCCTTACCCCATCCATTATGATGCCACGAAGCGGAACTTGGCACGCTTAACTAACAGCAGACATGGCCCTATGAATTTACAGGTTTCCTAGCACATGTTCAATCTCCTGAACAAAGGCCTACACTGTAGTCTCTCCTACTGAGATGTATGTCCCCAAATAGCTCGATGCTTTCAGTAAAATACTGCCACACAGTGGCACAGCAAAGGGTGGCACTTTAAACAACAAAAGGAGCGCTGCTGTTGTTCCTTTGCACAGCAGAAACCTGAAGCAGACAGCAGTTGTGCTGATCCTTGTCAAATACGAATCACAGTGTTTGCTTACTAAAATTTCAGCTGTGAAGCTATACACCTATCCAGCACCAATATGCGAGGGACACACCATGGATGGAAGAATTAGTTACTTTGCAGTTATAGCGTGCATCGTTTGATGGTTTGCTTTACAGCTGGTTCTAAACGAAGCTCCAGAATCTAACAGTGCAAAATAATAAAAAAATGTTTTTCTTGTACTGCCAGACTAAGTTCTAACACATATGCGAATGTAATGTACAGCTGCCTTTTTATGTTTTCAACATTGACTCACCACTACAGATCGCTGGCATCAAATTACACTGTCCTGCCTTGTAGTTTCTTTAACTACAAGCCCTCTAACCTTCCCCCTCCCCACAACTTGTCCTTTTATTCTTGTAAAGTTTTATAAAATGTTTTTCTTCCTCAGAAACTGGTAACCCAAACCATTTCCAAGTACCATTAAAACCTGTATGTTATATGTTATTATTCTTCCCTCACTTCTTTCGACTGCTGTGATATTCATTCCTCATGTCAAATTCAAGTTATTTTCTGTTACATAAATTATTCCTTTCACAAGGAGGGCATCTGCAAGGCCATCTCTGAAAGGATTTTGGATACCATGTTTGTCTTTCCTTTCCATGTGTTATCAATTATATAATTAAATTAGGCCTAGGCTGATATAATTTTATTTTTATGAATCAGCCAACAGTCCTAATAAAAATACTGCACAAACATTGCAGAAACACAATGCGAATGGCTTAAAACTGGGTTTTGCTGTTTTCAAAATCCATAGTCCAATGGGCAGCAGTATATCGATCACACCGTTTTAGTGCTAAATAATTTTAAGAAGTGACTGCATCCGTGTGCCAATAGTTCCAGAGATTCAAAGCCATTGGCCACTGCTTGAATACCCAGGTGTGTGCTCTGTCGCCTTCACAGCAATCAATCCGCATCAACAGAAGAGGGAGTTGAAGGCCCCAAAGCAAGAGCTTCCCAGCCTCAGAAGCAAATGGCCCACATGTACACCCAGTTTCATTTTGGTCAGGCTTCTTCCTAAGGTATCCAGCAGCCAAAGTAGGCTCAAATATAGTTTGCTCATCTTGAGAGACTATTAAGTCAAGTTCTGAAGATACAGTCTCTCTCACTGGGCTGTGACCTAAGGATCTTAAGCAATGGGCAACTTAGGGGAGCAGAAGCAGCTGAATACAGAGGCAGAATCAACCAAAACTTAGTGCTAACAAACAACGGTTTTACTGGCACAGAAAAGACTGCTTGGATCCTCTTTAGGCTATTTATTTAAAACATTTATAGCCCACCTTTTCTTTTAAGTCCAAGACAGTAATTCCTGGCAGTTGTTCTTGGCACCCTAAAGATAGAACTACGACAGTAATACTCAATACAGTAATAAAATAGAGGATGCATGTTAATATAAAAACCCCAGAGCCAGTGTGGTGAGATCTGGACTGGGACTTGGGAGATCCAGGTCCTAGTCTTCTGAATGGCCATGAAGCTACCTTGGTGACTCTGGGTCATTCACTAGCTCTCAGCTTAACCTACCTCTCAGAGCTGCTACAAGGATAAAATGGAGAGGAGGAGGGTCCTGTTAACAGCTTTGGATTTTTCAAAGTGGAATAAGGCATGATATAAATGCAAGGAACAAATGGATGTATAAATGCATAGTTCCAGCTAGTTGATTAGGAAAAGTGGGTTAGATCTAGGTGCATGCAACTGAGTTGGTGGATGTCAAGTTCTTTGCCCTGCTTCCCACAGTGTCCTCACCAGTCTCCTGAAAACGATGCACAGTTAGGAGATCTTGTTGCATGGAATAAGCTTTGCAGATCCCCCAAAACTGTGTGGTGGAACTTTCTGTGAGTAGAACCTTCCACTTATGGAGGGCAGATCCTGTACCTAACCGAATTTCTGGCTGTCATATTTTTCAGGGATAGAAAACGCATCCCCAGTCAGATGAAATGTATTCTTCCACATAGTAAATTTTAGGTTTTTATGAACATCATCCTCAGATCTGGCTGTTGGGTTCCATTCTTGTCAGAGGAATCATATCCATGCTCCATTACCATCATCAAGCCATGCCCTCTAGCAAAATGTAGGATGTTCGTACCTTCCTAAATTTCTCCATCTGTTTGTAAAGATCAGGATCCAGCTCTTGAGACACATCTTTCATCCACAACAGAGCTCCTCGGTATTCCGTCCGGCATTGCTCCATTCGGTTGACCGTTAACCATGTATCAGAAATGGCTCTATACCTAAATGTTTCCACTTCTTGATATAATCTGCACAAAGGAGTGCGCAATGCCAACCTAGAGGGTGGAGGAGCACACAACAACAAAGCGTAAGTACTTCCGAAAACAAGCTAAATCAACCTTTTTAGATCCCATTTTAAGTAGCAAACCCAAAGGACAAGGAGTCAGTGAAAAGGAAATAGCAGTAAGCTTAGTCAAGATGCAAGCCAAAATTGACAGAAACCTTCAAGACCATTTCAGAGGGCAACACCGAAAACAAAGAGTTGGACCCAGACTTAGTCACTTAGTCACTTTTAGCTTTAGTCATCACTAACTTAATCCCACTACTAGTATTATTCTACTAGTATTTTCACGAGTCAGTGGCAGATAATTTCTCTATGAAAGAATCATGATTGTTACAACTAATTCCAACTATTTTCCAGTGGGTTTCCTGATGGGGTTTTCCTTCTTTTCTTTTAAATTCCTGGAGAAAGTAGAACATATTATCTGAAAAATTCAGCTACAGGCAGACAATGAATGCAACTATTTCACAAACAATACTATGTATAGCATAATACATCACAGGTAAGCAAACTAATTTCAGGACTGCCAGATTTAAATTAAATATAGCAGATGAGTCAATGGATAATTTAAATATAGGTTAAAAATCAGCTTCTGATGAAATGGGAGGGTTAAGAATAATAATGATTCTAGACTTTGGAAATATGACATACACATGTAGAAACCGTTTCCTCCCTGGGAAAGAAACTTCAGCTGATCTCAGAACTAATTTACAGAAACCACTGGATGTTCCAACAGTACTAAATGTCCACCTTTGAAGCATTTTGCTCTGGGCATATTAAAAGCTGAGATTGCCTGTCTTTCTACTAGCAAATAATTGTTAGTTAACTATTTCACTCTCAGAGGCTGAAACCCTCTTTTATAATCCTTAAAATGGTACTGGTATTGGAAGTTTTTCAATCTCTAGTTATGTTTAAATTTAATGACATAATTAACACTATGATCATTTACCCACCTACTCTGAAGTTAATCCCAACGCGTTCAAATGGGCTTACTCCCAAATAAGTGAGCACAATTACATATTGCTGTAATATTCTACAGCAAATGTGGAATATTAAAGCTATCAGAAAAAGTCCTAATTAATTTGCATTATGATGATAACGATTATAAGATGAAGCACCTGATATTTAAAACTCAGATCGAAGTTAAGAATTGTCAGCCATACTGCTAACGGAAAAAGCCTTCAAAGGAAAAGAACCACTTGTAGTTGCTACAATATGGTTTCTATTCCATTTAGAGGTCAAAAGAAAGCAATCAGTTCCCCCAATCAGACCCTGGAACAGCTTCAGTATAAAGCACAGGCTACTAAAATCTTCCACTTCCTTTCTTCTGCCATCACTTACCTGGAATTACTCTGACTCACTCATGCGATAAATTCACTAACCATTCACAGTACGGCAAAGGTGATTTTATCAGAAATCAGAGGAATTCCAGCTGAGGCACACATGGGTGATGTAGGAAGCAAATGGCTGCATTTTTCAGCTACTCATGATGCTATACAGTCATCCTAAACATTACTCTTGTGGGTTCACCTATCATTTATACTAAATTGTAGAAGGAAGGGCCTGGCACTGACTGACAGTGACCCTCATCAGATCCTTCATGGGTGGTGCTACCACTGTAGGAACTTCTTTACTGTTGGAGAAATTTTGACCCAGCCAAGATCTTGTGGGCAATCTGAAGCTGGTAGAGCAACAGTTTCCATTGGTATGATTTGGACAAAGCTGCACTTTACCTAAGCATGGAGGCTATGATCCAGGACAGATGCTCAAAGTGCTTCAAGTACATGGTCTTCGGCAGTGGTGCGGCTATGGCTGGATCTCAAGGCTAAAGTCCAGGACCCTGTGGCCAGTGGGGCCCCAAAACGATCGCTCAGAGCATGAGAAGCAAAGTCCTTTTTAATATCTGTAGTTATGATGGTGCTGTGAATTAAGTGAGTTTGAAATGCAAAACCACCCATGCCCAGAATATATATTCTTTTTTAAATCAGGGTTGGCAAGCTGATAAGCCACTGTTGTAACTCTGCTGGCATCCAGAAACAACAACAGAGCATGAAACGGCGAGATGAGAGTAGAGAGGGGAGAAATATTAGTTCTGTCCTCCATAACTAAACCAATACCTATGGCTGTCTAATCAGGCCCCCGTAAAAACATCAGGTCCAGGGTCTCAATTTCCCTAGCTGCACCACTGATTCCATAAGGAGGAGATGGTTCTTCCCTAAACTGGGGCCAGAATGATTCCCAGATGCTGGAACAAGAGAGTGCCCAGTCCTTCAACCTGCTGCCTAGTGAAGCCCGGTCCTCTACACTCAGCCCTGGAAGAGTGACAAAATGCCTTGATACGAAGGACATGATCAGCAGGGCAACTAGGCGTGGATGCAGAGGAAATGTGGACAAAGCATCCTGGCCTTAAGGCCTGAGATCCCAAGATACTCTCAGAAAGCAGAACTGAATTCAGAAGGGGCTTCCTGTCCAGGAGGAGATATAAGTTCCAGTGGCTCCATCTTCCAGATCGAAGGATGGGGTAACCTTTCCTTTTCTGATTATTCTTCTAGCACTGAGTGAAAAGGTAAAGAACAGGCAGGAAACATGCAAACAGGCTGATCAGAGAGAAGCAGGAAGATGGCTTGCATAGTGGAAGTAGGCCTGGTGACTTCAATATGTTTTGGACTATGGTTCCTATCAGGCCCAGCATGCATGGGACTGGAAATTGTGAGAGCTGCAGTTCAAAACATCGGAAGACTGCCTATCTCTGCTGCATCCAGCTAGACTGCTTGGCCGTGAAGCTCTCATGGGGACCTTTTTGGCCAGTAGCTCCCTGTCTCACTCTGCTCTATCTCACAGGTTTGTAATGAAGATAAAATGAGAGGGGATAGAAATCATAAGCTGGCTTTGACTCTTTGGAAGAAGGACAGGATATAAATCTCATGAAGAAACGAATAAGGGCAAGGCAAAGGAGCAGTGGGGTGGGGGAAAGCTCCAAAGACTCAAAAGCTGACTGACTCCCCAGGCAAAGAGCTCTGCTCACCAAGCTGCTCCTTTTTAGAGGAGCTGCTAGGAAGGGAGAGACAAAGAAAGCTTGGAAACTCATGCGGACTCACATCTAAAAGTATGGCAGGGATGATGAAATATTCCAGACAGGAGGTCTCAATAACAAAGCCCATCCTGTCAAACATACCTTTGTTGAGAAGAAAAGCAGAGGGCCTTTCCTGTAGCTTGCATCATTTTGCCTGCTCTGGTTTTATCCTGAGAACCTTGAGATCGGAGAAATTTTCCTAATTCATTTTCTTCCTGAGACAGAACTAAGAGAAAAAAGAACGTAATCAAGGAAAGGAAAGTTTATCTCTCTCTTTTTTTTGGGGGGGGGGGGGGCGGTGATGGCAGGGGCAAGCAGGGTATTATCACAAGAAACACACAATAACATATTCTCCCTTTCCCTCTCTCACCTTCCTGCTTCAGAATTTCTAATCGACCTTCATTCATCTCCTGCACTTACAAAAGAGAGGATCAAGTTCACTTTAGCACATCCTTTCACAGGCTGAGTGTAATTGTAATGTAATAAGAACTGCAAGAGGATCTCTGAGCTGAACAGGAGAACTTGTTTTGGTTTTTTGCTTTTTTGTTTGAGTAGCAATATAAGCTTGGCGCATCAAATGAAGCAGAGGGCTGTGACCCAAGCACAGTGCCTAGAATTTACCTGGATCGTTTTAGAGTCTCTCAGAGCTCCTTGAGCATGATGCTCAAGTGACAGAAGGTCATCTGGCTCCAGTGATCTGGATGCTTCAGGTCACCCTTTAATTCTATCCCTTCTGTATAAATATTTGCACAGGAATTTGTGGGAGGTGGGGGATCTAATGCTACAGGAATTTTATTTAAGTTAGGAACAAGTTTTACAAGCACTAATCATGATAAAACCATCAGAGGGGCAGAGCACCAGGTCCACATATGTGACTAAAGATGAGGAAGAAATCAGAAGTTTTTCATTACATGCAGGGGCGACTTTCCAGCAGTTTGCTTTTTTAAATGAAAAGCATGTGTAGCAAGGAGAGCAACTTCAAGCAGAGTGTGACAGAGGAAAGGGGCTGCTTAATTAAACGATTGTTTCACTCATGGTGTTTCTCTCTTTGTCAGATATATGATCCCCTCACAGCTTAGAGGTCTAGACTTAAACAGAGACGTAATTGGAAGAGAAAGGGTTAAGTGACACCCCTCCCCCTCCAAATCACATCAGGGAACTTTCCCATGTGTTTTGCATAATACAGTTATGTATCTGTCTTCAAACTCTGCATAAGCTCTATATAATATCACACATGGATATTTCCCTTAGCCATGAGAAATGTTTCTATCATTTTTTAAAAACAGCTTCAAAACTTGAAGATGATCATTTTTGGTCAACTTGCATTCTGCCTAATGTTGCAGAATGCTTTACAATTACCTTAATATTATCAATGTTTTAAGTTTTCATTCATGTATACCAATATTCTCCAACCTGGTTCTTTCCAGATTCCTTGAGACAGAAGGGCCAGCTATGGTCTGTCTGCATCTGGAGGGCACCAGTGTAGGGAAGGCTTTGGTATAGTTATCCAGGAGCAAGCTCTATTGAACTCATAGGATGCTTACTTCTGAGAAGACTTATAGAGGATTTACACAGCTAAACATACTTACAACAAATGCGTTTTTGATATAATTCGATTGCTTTAAGTAAATCCATGCATGTCCTCTGAATTGAATGGAACAGCTGAAATGAAACAAAAATGCAAATCAAATATATGGTCTCTTGAAATACAGAAAGGACACTTTTTCCTAGCTTGGCATCATGTTAAACTTTGCTTGGACTATGAAATCATATTTTCCACCCACATACAAAATCACACAAGTAAGAATTGGCTAATACAAAAACTATAAATGACATGGCATATGAGACAAGCTGATCAAATTTGGTTGTCTCAGAGGCATTTATGGAATCTTATCTGCCAGGGAGTAAATACTACATGTGACAATAAATTTGAGAAGACAGCAAAAGAGAACTACGTGGCATTTTCTATTTCACAAAGCATTTCTTTCCTTCTTTTATAACAGAGCTTACATAAACAAAAATTCTTTGAATTGTCTTATCATCCACAATACAGTAAGATTTCATGTAGGCAAATCTTTGCTTTAATGTGAACAACAGCGAAGCCTGATGTTACCTATACTAGAAGGCCAGGACCCTCCTATTCTGTCACAGTAAAACTTTAGCAAGCTACCACAGAGACCCAATTTAGCTGAAAATACATGCTGTAATCTTTGGCTCAGAGGTCACTGAAGAAAAAAAACAATAGAGGAGCACGGCGCAATCAAGGACTATCGTGTAGTAAAAAGTGAAGGTTGTTACAGACTTATCTCTGTTTCACACATTTCACCATGGTTTATCACCAATGCACACTTGACATGAAACCACAGCCACTCCTGGATCTTTCATGAGCGTACTCTGTATTGCTACAATGTCTGGAAACATACTTATCCTTTCAATGTGCTTAAAACAGAATTTATATTTACCCTGGAAAACAACATGCAAAGTAACCTAAACAACACAAAACAGCCACCCACAGTACCCAGATGTTAAATGACATGGCTATAAAGGAAAGGAAAAGGAGGCATTAATTCAGAAAGTACGGCCTTCTGGATTGTGAGCAACCACAAAGGCTTTCCAAAACTTTTGGCTTTCCAAAAGTCTTCTAATTCCTCAGAATACTCCAGCCTTCCCTGCTTGTTGGCCCATATATTTTGAGCCACCTCCCAGAACACTGTATCATGACACCTCTCTTACTTCACTGAAATCACGCATCAAAACCCACCTTTTACCTGAAGCCTTTGGCACAAGCCACTGCTCCTTAACTCAGCCTGAAGCCAAGCTTAAATACATGCATCTCAAACAATTGCACACTGTTCCCCTGTTCACTACCTTCTTCCTTTGCCTCTGTTGTTTCCCCAGTGATAAGATTCTAAGCTCCTTGGGGTAGAAACCTGTCCTCTTGCACTCTGTGAAGCACAATGCACACTCATGACACTATGGAAAAATGTGTGAAAGAGTTCAAATGAAACAAGTTCAGGATATCAGACCAACATTCCAGAAGTTTTTATGCTTTCTTAAAGCACAGTCCCAAAGGTGTTGTAACAGATCTAGGATATGTTCTTTTCCACTGAAGTACAGTCAAGTTTGCAGTACCCTTTAGAAGACATTCTGTGCAAGGACTCTGACGGAACAACTTCTCAGAGGTGTAATTAAGGTCACATGCCAAAAGTAAATATGTTTTTACATTTGCTTCCAAGCAGGAAATAGGCCAAGAAGCAAAAGATCAAACTAACAAATTTTTCAGCAAGGGCATTTATTTTATCTTATTTTTAAAATGTCTCAGTACTTGTTAAAAGAAGCAGATTTGTTTCTTTGAAAGGGGCCTTTTAAAAGGTTACCATGTTAGCTTAGCTAATTCTCTGACTATACTGTATACCAGCTGTACCCCAGGTGCTGTTTACCTGTAAAGGAGATGTATTAAAATCAGCTCATTTTAACCTGTATTTACAAGGAAAAACTTCAACTTTGGTACACCAAAGTGGGAAAAAAGGTAATGGCTAAGAATACAGACTCCCATAGTTACAATCTCGTATGCAAGAAGAACTGCATTGTAATCCACTGATTTATTTTTTACATTTGTATCTTGCTCTTCTCCAAAGGATTTTAAGGTCACTGTTTTTTTTTTACCACCCAATAAGGTGATTTACTCAACAGATATTACAATTGCATGCATGTAGGAGGTTGCTGTACAAAAATTTGGTCTGGGGTAAGAAATGAAGCAGGAGAACTTGTAGAATTTTGTGAAACCAACAAGCTGTTCACTGCAAGCACAGACTCCGACCACCTGTTCAGACAATTGCATACATGGACTTCAGATGGCCAAAACAGGAATCAAATAGATTATGTAACTGGAAACAGAAGGGAGAAAAGCTGTATTCTTGCTGCCAAAAAAAGACCAGAAGCAGCCTGTGGCAATGCTCATCAGTTAATTTCAAAAATCAAACTCAAGCAAAACAATATCACCAACAGAAACACAGTGCCAAAATATTACTTAAGTAATATCCCCAAAGAATTTCAAGTCCACATGAAGAACAGATTTGCATTGCTCAATTTAATTGACTGTGAGGCAGAGGAACTGTGGACTGAAATCAGAGACATTATTAAGGAAGAATGCCAAAAGATGATTCTTGTAGTAGCAAGAAAGGAAAAGCCTATAGGGATGACAGAAGGAACACTCACTGTCCTGTTGCAAAAGAGAGGCGAGAAACAAGAGGAGACAGAAATAAAGTCAGAATCCTGAATACAACTTTCCAGTGACTATCACATAAAGACAAGAAGAACTATTACAATGATCAAAGCAAAGAAATCCAAGAGAGCAACAAAAGAAGAAAAACAAGAAACCTTTTCCAGAAGATCCAATAAATAAAAGGGAAATTCAAACCTAGATTAGGAACACTAAAGGACAAACAAGAAAACATACTATCCAACCAGGAGAAAATAAAGAGCAAGAAAATATGCAGGAAAAACTGAACTGAAGAAATGAAAGTATGACAAACTTCTTCGAAGTGGAATCCTATGATGAAGGGCCTGCAATATTATAAAGCAAAGTGAAAGCTACCGAGTGCACTTTCAAAGAATAAAGCAGGTGGAATAGACAAGTTACCAACAGAACTATTCCAAGCGGCAGGAAACAAATCAGTCCAAATCCTAACAAAAATATATCAACAATATGGAAAACAAAACAATGGCCCACAGACTGGAAATGTGCAATGTATATTCCAATCCCCAAGAAAGAAAAAACAAAAATGTGCAACAGCCATAGGATCATTGCATTAATCTCTCACATAAGCAAAGTGATGTTCAAAGTGTTGTAACAAAGAATACTGCCCTACATGGAGCAAGAAATACTGACCATCCAAGCTGGATTCTGAAAAGGAAGAGGCACTAGAGAACATATTGCAAATATATGCTGGCTACTGGAGTACACCAAAGAGTTTCCAAAAATGGTCAGTCTATGCTTTATACACTACAGCAAAGCCTTTGTCTGTGTGGATCATGAGAACCTATGGAAAGTCTTGAAAGAAATGGAGGTGCCTCAGCACTCGATTGTCCTGATGCAGAGCTTGTATCACAGGCAAGAAGCTACTGTGTGGACAGAATAGGGAGAAACAGAAAGATTTCCCATAGGCAAAGGTACCAGACAGGATGCATTCTACCTCTGTATTGTTCAATCTGTATGCAGAACATATTATAAGGAAAGCTGGATTAGAATCAGAGGAAAGCATGAAAATTGGCAGAAGAAACATCACTAATTTAAGATATGCAGATGATACCATACTACTACTGGCAGAAAGCATCAATGACTTGAAATGACTCCGGATAAAAATGAAAGAAAAAAGTACAAAAGCAGGACTGCAGTTGAATATTAAGAAAACAAAAACCATGGCCACAGAATAATGATAGAACTTTACTGCTAATAATGAAGAAATGGAAATTATGAAATATGTCACATAGCCTGGCTCAGTCATCAAACCAAAGGGAGACTGCAGCCAAGAAATTTGAAGAAGACTGAGACAAGGAAGGGCAATGGAGGAATTAGAAAAGATCATCAAGTGTAAGGATGTTTTACTACAGACCAACATCAAGACCATCCAAACGATTGTATTCCCAATCAATGAGCATGAAAGCTGAACAGTGAAGAGAGCTGATAGGAAGAAAACTGATGTATTCCAAACAGGGTGGAGGAATGCTTTGTGAATACCATGGGCTAACAGAAAGACAAACAGGTGGGTCCCATGGCAAATCAAGCCAGAGCTTTCCCTAGAAGCAAAAATGACAAAACTGAGGCTGCCATATTTTGGACACATCATGAGAAGGTACGACTTACTGGAGGAGACAATCATGTTAGGGAAAGTTTAAGGCAGAAGACAAAAGGGAAGACCAAATATGAGATTGGTTGAATCCATAAAGGAAGCTACAGCCTCCAAGTTGGAAGTACTGAATGGAACCACCATGGATGTCTTTTAGGGTTGCCCTGCTGGTGACAACTTAATGGCACATGACAATGACAACAACAACAACAACAACAAATTACAGGGGTTTCCCTTCCAACAGCAGTTCCTCGTTTAATGCCATCTCCCCTTAGCTTTCGGTAAATTTGAGAGCGGCAACAGGGGCTGCAATGGGAAGGGGACTGAAAATGGCTCTTTAGATCCTAGGCAAAGTTTTGGGACATCTTTAGAAGTTTTTTTTTTTTTTCTCCCACTTGTGGGGAAATGTTTGGGCTTCCATACATACCTCCAGTTTTGCATCCAAATCTGCATCCGAGGCCACTACATGTTCATCCTCCTTCTTCCCCGTGACTTTGATAAGAGTTTGTTTTGTTTTCCAATATTTCTGTTGCATTTTGTTGACCACAGATTTTTCCTGGCCTTGGGCATAACGATCATAAAATTCCCTTGAGTAACTACTAGAAGACAAAAATCCAGATGAGATAAAATGATTTAAGAGATATGTTGCAAATCGTATCACCCTTCAAATAAACTGTATTTGATAAAATAATTGGGTGTGTATTTACACTCCTTGAAGTTAAGTTTAGACCATTTTAAGAGAACTTGCATTCTCCTAGCTCATAACTCCATTGGCGACACAGATTTAGAGATAGACAGATATGAACAAATTTACTTACTATTTGTGGCCATCCATGTTCTTTAAAAAAAATCTTCAAACACTATGAATAAAGGGAAAAAATACAATAGTAAAAAACATTTACTATTATTACCCATTCCAAGCAGAAGTTAAAAGTTAACACAATCATTTGTTAAACTGAAAAAGGTGTATATTATGTCAAGTGTTCATTCAATTCAATACAAATGCAACACACTTCTGAATGAAAGCACATGTCTTCTGGAGCCTGCACTGGAAGGTCTGAGGGCTGATTTGTAAGAATTCAGAACACCAATTATTACCCCTACCCTAGACCCACACAGTATTTCAGGGATGATTCGAATATGCACCCTCTGCTGTGGTATATGGTTCTCTAGCCGAATAATTTTGGACTTCCTTTCTCTCCATGGTGGCAAGTTTTAATTCAGGGTGCCATTTCTGATGTTACTTAGAAACTATTATTTAACTACATATTTTCACTTCCATTTTCAGTTCATACCTTCCAAAAACTAGAATCATGATTTTGCAGGGCACAATAAGCACAGCTCTACTTTTATTAATGGTCCAATTCCCACTTCCCTTTCTATAGAGGAATTATATTGGGAAGCGAAGCACCTTTGGTGGAATGCAATATACTAGGTATGTGTACAAGAAACAAATTGTATCAATGAGGTCTTCTGAACATTCAGACAATATAATTTGCTATCAGAGGACTCAGGTAACTGTTATTCATAGTAAGCTTAAACCATACTGATGAATTGCTGCTCATAGAACTGCTTTGAAAACTGTTTCTTCTATGTTTTAAGCAGATGCACACACTCTGCTGGTAATGATATAATATGAAGCCTCCAGTATCATAGCAAATGGAAACAGACCCTCTAAAAAGGCTTAAAAGATTCTATCATATAGAGTCCTCCCTATCTTTATAAATATATATTTTGATTATCCCACATCACATACTTGCAGGCACAGATGCTATGCCAGAATGTTACTGTATCATTATTCTTATTTATATATTATCAACAGTGTTCACTTATTCATTTAAGCAGTATCATTTGCACAGAACCTGACAAAATAAGGGTGTAATCTGAAGGAAGGAAGGAAGGAAGGAAGGAAGGAAGGAAGGAAGGAAGGAAGGGACATTCTTTGAACTCCCAGCATTTCCAAGTCAGCACTGCTGTCTGGGGAATGCTGAAAGCTGTAGGACATAGAGATGTGTATTAAGATATGTAAAAGAAAAAGAAGCACATAGACAGACCCAATCAAAGCAGCTTACAATCAAAAATTTGCCACTGGGAGAAACAACAGAGGAGCAGAGCAAAGTGAAAGAAAATGGTAACAGTCAGACAAAATTATATATGTGGCTAAATTACATCCTGCCTTTCTTCCTGCAGGAACCTCAAGCAGGCTTATATAACCCTCTTCTCCATTTTATCTGCACAACGGTCCTGTAAGGTAGGTTAGCCTGAGAGTCAGCAAATGACCTAAAGTCCCCAGTGAACTTTATGACCAACATGTACACTGACGCTTGTTTAGAGCTGAGGAACATTTGAAAAACATGGGTTGGAAGAGATATAATTTGTCTTTAGTGTCTGAAGTGGTTAAAGGTAGAAAGGAAAAAACAATATGCCTTTCACTTGAAATGTGAGCCAGAGAAGTGATACAGCATAAACATACTGTGCTAACAGAATGGCGGTTCCTACTATCATTGAAAAGTGAATACCAGGGCAGGTTTCAGTGTTATATATAGGAAGGTCAGTAGCAGCTGATTGGAAAATGGAAGAACATTCTAAAAATGCTTATTATAGAAGTGACTGGAATAAACATCCCAAAGCTGATTGGGTGAAGGGTTTTGACTGGATCAAATGTAAGGAGCTATTAGGAGGCATCTGAGGAGTTTTGGGGGAGAGTCTGTTAGGAAGAAGTGTTTTGTGGGAGGCTGGGGAGCCTGAGGAAGGCATTGGCCAGGAAAAGGAACAACCACAAGACTGGGAAGTCAATTTAAGAGCTGAACTGAGGTCAGCAGGTAAGGAGAGGAAGACTTTAGCATCAGCTTGAGGAGGAAAGGCTTGTGCCAGCAGGTGGCAGTGGTCTGAAGTCAGAGCAGCAGGCAGGCAAAACTTAAGACTTCAGAGGAAGCCCTGTAAATGGTCATGAGGGTTCTAGAATGTTATCAAGCTTACAACAGAGAAGACTGCTAAGACTTTGCCTGGATATAACAAGCAACAGTGGTAGGAAGAACTCTTAGAACACACTATGTTGATAATACTTCCTAATGGTTGACTATCACAACTGGGTTTGCACAACACAACAAGTGACCATGGTTTTGTAACACTGGTTGTTTGTCTTGTTATGCAAACCCAGTCACTGAGTTTACTGGGATGGAGCCTGATAGAGGAATTGGCTTAGGTTGGTTAGAACTTGCATTTTTTAATACCTGGACAAACATAACCATAACTGTTTACAGATTTTTCTAAACTATATCAATACTGAAACCTTGTTCTTAAAGTAACAAAAATCTTTGTTTCTTTTATAATAAAAGACTATATACTTTTGTTTACTTCCTCGTATGTCTGAGTTGTTTTTCTCATTCCCAATGACCAGCTGCCTTAGGAAAAAAAGGTATCTTAAATAAGGATGTGTAAATTCATGGTGGCAGCAGACGTGAAGGGTGTGATTGCCCAGTGGCACAGCATGATCCTCAGTTGTTGGCCATATAGCAGCAGAATTGTCCACATACAGCAACAAGCACACCAAGGCTTGATTGCAGCTGGGAAACAGGGGGAAGATATGACATACTGAACTGAGAATCGGCATGGCCATCAGCACATTCAAGCCCCTACAGCTGGGGAGGAACCAAAGCCCATTGCAGGAGTACATGCTCTGCATGCGGATGGTTCATGGTTCAGTCTCGGCAATCTCCAGTTAGAAGAGTCAGGCAGCAGGAGATGAGAAGGGAACCTCTACCCTTAACCCTGAACTGCAGCTGCCAAGCAGAGAAGATACTACTGCGTTAGGTGGACAGCTGATCTGACCTGGTACAAGAAAGCTTCCCATGTTCACTTCCATTTGGCTCCGAAATTGCTAGTGAAAGATGGTAAACCCAGGTTCGTAATCAAGGACAAACGGAACAGGGAGCTGCGACATTATGATGTATAACTTTACAGACACATCACCACATTCAGCCTTTCTACTTGAAAAATAAGTACACATTTTGAGACGTATACATTAATACCAAGGGATTAACTTTATGTCTCCTATCTTTCATCAGATAGACATTTAACCTGTGTGCATAAATGTATATGCACAACCACAATATTTCTGAAAGCTTTGTATGTTTTCCATTATCTCTTGTCACAGTGAGACACATGCTGACAGTTTTGCACTGAATCCCAGCTGTTGCACTGAAGCCATGCATGGATACTGACATTCTTCGCATGTTATTGATGAATGATATCATGACAGTTATTAGGACAGTGACACTAAACTCTGAACAGATAGAAAAATTGGCTCTGAACTACAGGGTTCACATTCAATCTCATGGGAAAAGGTAGAAAGCGTAGAACACACAATTATCTACTGCCATTATCTAGTGCGTAATTGGCATTCTGATTCTTAATTTCATTATAATGCACACACTAGCATAAATCAGATTACCTATCTGTTTGCAGTAGCCCTTCCAAAAGAAAAATGATTGTTGTTGTTACATGATTTGAAAAATGATTTGTTGATTGTTACAGCAAAAAACAGCTGGCTAATCAGGCCAGGACAAAGGGCTGGGTCCAGTATTTGTCTCCTGTAGACAGAAGGTCTCCACCCAAGTAAAGTGCCTCTGCCCGAGTTTGGGAGATCCCTCCTCATCCCCTGCCCCCCAGTGCCTTTCATTCCATACACTTGCCTCACCCTTCATGCAGGGCTTCGGGGGCTGGGAGGCTACTGTGGGGCAGGGAAGTCAGCTGCCGCCAGCCCAGCTGCATATGCTTTTGACAGAATCCAATCCAAGTGATACATTTTTAAGATAATGAGACATAGATACATATACATGAAGAAAAGGCACAATGTCTTTCAGCAGAGACATTGGTTGGTTGGTTACCCTACAACATAAGGGACGTTGGGTAATCTACAACCAACAGGAGCTCACTCTGGCCCAGTTCACACATAATGGCAACACATTTAAACACCAGTCTGCATTTTATGAAAGTAAGCCGCTTGTCTCTACAAGCCTATGGTCTGCAACTTCTGCGGCGTGGTTCCCACCCAATGGCCTCCTTGTTCCCCCTTCCATGATTAACTGTGCCCAAGCAAATGCCAAGAAGAATGTAAGGCCTGTTCCTCATTACACACAGACACAATGCATGCATGCACACAAACACACAAATAGGAACAATCCAAGGGGTAATGCAGTATTTGAGTAGGCCTTAGACTAGTGATGGTGAAACTTTAGAGACCGAGTGCCCAAACTGCAACCCAAAACCCACTTATTAATCTCAAAGCGCCAACACTGCAATAAAACCTGAAAACTGAGGTTTTAGTTGAGAAAAGACAACTCACCGCCAGTCCAAACAAATATAAATATATCTTTGGCAGCGCACTGACCGGCCATGTGAAAGCTCAGATAAGCAGCAGCTAATGAGTCGCAGTTTCTGACATCAAAATACTCCTTTCCGAGCATGCGGGTGGCCCCTATGTGCGTTGTAATCTGATACTCGGCTGCTAGGGCGATGCTGGGGCAACCTGGCTCACATGCTGACAGAGAAGGCTCTACTTGCCCGCTGTGGCATGCGTGACATAGGATCACCACCATTCGCCTAACCCTACACTCGTGCACACCCCTAACCCTAATATAGGGGTAAAGTTCCACAGAAAAGAGGGCGATTTTGAAAAAGCCTTCCTGGAGTAGCTTTTTCAGCACAGCTCAACATTTCTGCTCAGTCTAAACACATTCCAACCATCAAAACCATGCCAGGACACCTTGTTTTACTAACCCTAACCCTGCCCTGGTGCACACCCCTAACCCTAATATAGGGGAAAAGTTCCATTGAAAATAGGATTTTGAAAAAGCCT